AACAGTTTCAAAAAACTAACTTTTATTTATATTTCAGCTGTGTTTATTGAAATGACCGTTAAGGCATTTCTTCTAAAAGTTCTAACTTTTAAGCAAAAAAAGTTCAAAACTGAACGTTGAAATTTTGTTCGAATGTTCGAACTTGAGCATGTTCGAGCTAGCAATCCTAGTTTTAATGTTGTAAAGGTTGTATAAATGAGTTTTGACGCTTATTTACAGTTCTGTTATATTGCGTTAAAAATCGTATCGTATATCCATAATTTGAAACTTAACATAAAAATGCTTTTAAAACTTCAAGTAAAAACTATGAAACTCAGCGTATAATAACATCAATATGTGCTAAATACACACACCAAATGATTTGTTTTTTTACCATGCCATTCGCTGCATTAAGTTTGACAAAGTTGTTTTTTTCAGAAGTAGTAAAACGTAAAAGTTACGACCGTCAAGCTACGTAGAGTAAGTTTTTGAAAAAATTTAAAGACTTTAATGCTCTAACTTTTACATAATAAATTATATGATAGTATTTCACATTTCTGGAAAGTTTTAGGTCATTTCCATTTTCGGTTCATTTTTAATAGCTTATGAGTGTCAAATGGTTTGACCGCCATTCTCGCGGAATTCCCCAGATATATATATATATATAGATATATACTTATATATATACTTATATATATACTTATATATATATATATATATATATATATATATATATATATATATATACTTATATATATATATATATATACTTATATATATATATATATATATATATATATATATATATATATATATATATATATATATATACATATATATATATATATATATATATATATATATATATATATATATATATATATATATATATATACTTATATATATATATATATATATATATATAAATATATATATATATATATATATATATATATAAATACTTATATATATACTTATATATATATATATATACTTATATATATATATACTTATATATATATACTTATATATATATATATATATATATATATATATATATATATATATATATATATATATATATATATATATGTGTGTGTGTATATATATTTATTTATATATATATATATATATATATTTATATATATATATATTTATATATATATATATTTGTATATATATATATATATATATATATATATTTATATATATATATATATATTTATATATATATATATTTATATATATATATATATATATATTTATATATATATATATACATATATATATATATATATATATATATATATATATATATATATATATATATATATATATATATATATATATATATATATATATATATATATATATATATATATATATATATATATATATATAATAGCATAAAATAAGTAATTATTTTTATAAATAACACGATGTTTGTTTATTCTTGACATATTTCTTAAAATTTTATTTACATTTTCAAAAGGTTATTTTACAATAATAAAACTCTGAAATAAATATTAAAAAGTAAAAGTGTTTTTACAGAGAAATAATAACGGACAAAAATTTACATAATGATATATAACGGGTTATGCATAAGTCTTCGAACTTTAGTCGTAAAAAAATATTTTTAGTTAAATAAAAAAAAGAAACTATATGGTAATAAAGAACATTCATTCTAGTATCTTTAATGTATTTAACATATTGAGTAGACGCCTCTATCAGCGATTTTTCTAATTTTTGTTTACACTCATCATTAGTCTTTGTAACAGATCTGGATCATTTTCTTATAATTCATTTAATTTGCTCTTTATTCTTAGAACTAGTTGATATATGCTACGTGCTCTCCAACCATCACTGTATGCCATCTGACTTATAGCTCAAAATGTTTCAGTTGGTCTAGCCTGTGAAACATTTGGTGGATTAGTGCATTTTTGTACAAATTTTATAGAATTATCAATAAACCAATTTTCTGTTTTATTAGCATAATGAGCAGTTGCAAAATCTGGCCAAAACACAAAATTGTTATCTTTATGATGTTCTCTAACAAATGGTATAAGTCTTTTCTTCATACATACTTTCACATATATATTGGATGTTATTGAATTCTTTGATCTATGTATATAAGGTTTACAAATCCATTTGAAGAAATGCAAATCCAAACCAATACCTTTTCTTTGAATTTTTTTTTTCAACTTATATTTTACATTATCAGGGGCTAACAATTTATTATTTGTATAATATATGTCATTTCCAGGTGTATTTGAGTTTGATACGTTAAAATATTTTTCGTCATCCATGATTATATCTTTTTCATGGAATACTTTATTAACTAATCTTCTTGATGATGTTGCTGCTCTCTGTTGTTGATCTTTTTCATACAAAGGTGCTTTTTGTTTTTTGTAGCATTTAATATCTGTTTTAAAATGAATAGTTCTTGAAATTGTACTTTGGTTCACCTTAAAATATGAAACTAAATACTTTTGACTAATACCAGTTAAATTATTTAGCATTTTAGTCAATTGTTTGACTTTTTTCTTATTCATTTTTGGAGGATAACCTGATCTAACCAAAACATTATACACACCATACTTCTCATACCTTGCAAGAATACTAAATATAGTTGACTTTGGTATTCCTTCATTTTTAAAATGTTTATATGTTAATTTCTTTTTATCACTTGAACGATTTTCATAGAGCGTTACAATTCGTTTTGCGAGGGTTTCTCGATCAAGCCTTGTCATTTTTTTTGTATAGAAGTCTAGATAAAATTTAAAAGTGATTTAAATACATTAATGTTTGATCTTCAAAATAAACAATAAGTTGAAGGTTGAAAAATTACTTTCCTTATTTGAATCAGTTTCAAAAAAGTTCGAAGACTTATGCATAACCCGTTATTTACATAATTACCAATATATTGTTACAAAATAACTCGTTAAATAACCAATCAAAATAACTAACTGTCAGTAGTAAAATTAAATAGATAAGTTAATAGCATAATGTGAAGTTTGTTTATTAAGTGAGTGATTCTACCATTTAATGTGGAGGGTTTCTTGAATTCTTAACATGTGTTTGGTTGGGGCATTATCCAAAATCTCAAAAGAATCACAGTTAACCAGATTTTTGCAATAAATAGATAAATTTAAGTGTTTAAATAAATGAGATTGTTTATTTCTTTTAAGGTGCTTTTATTCTATTTATTCTAGTTGCCAAGTGTCACGACATTTCTCTACTATAACTGGCATTACAGCCAGCGCAAGAAAATTTATAGACAGCATGAGATTTAAGCAGTTTTGGAAATGACTTTTTTAAGCAAAAGCAATCTTGTAGTGAAAATTAATTTTATTAGAACATCCTTGCAATATTTATGAACAATTTTTTAAATTTTCTTTTTAGTATAATTAGAGTACATTCCAATGTATGGAAGCTTAAAGTATCTTATATTCAAGCTATTAACAATTTAAGAAACAGATAGGTTCATTATCTTATCAAAATAGGATTTCTTATCAACAACTTGGATTTTCTTATCAACATAGGATTTCATTTCAGAGTCAATAATTTTTTGTAGATATTTATTATTTTGTAAAACTAACGATAGATTCTTAATATCTTTATCAAAACCAACCTAAGTATTAATAGTTTTAAATGTACGATCAATCAAACAACGAATAGATCTTAAAATATAACTTAAAATATTTAAATAAAACTTAATTATTATATTATAAAATATAACTTAAAATATTTACATAAATTAATTATTATATTATAAAATATAACTTAAAATATTTAAATAAAACTATTAAAAATTATTATATAAATATTTAAATAAAACTTAATTATATATTAAATAAAATCTAAAATATTTGGTAAAAGACATGTATACGTTTTTTTTTTGTGATAAAGTGAAGTCGAAAATAAATTGGATTTTTTAATAAGTACATCTAAAAAGGTAATCTGGTTATCTTGTTCTTTTTTCATAGTAAATTTCAAATTTTTATGTTTATTGAGGCGTTTGAAAAAATTTTGACCTTCATATTTAAAATTAAAAATAGCAATTATATAATCTACATACCGTTTATTAAAAAATGGTGCTATAAAGTAATTATTGACCCTTGTTTATTTATGAAATCCGACAAAAATATTAGCTAAGATAGGCGCTAAAGGAAAACACGTAGGAGCAACACCATCCGTTTGATCGTATTATCTTCCGTCAAATAGAAAATGTGAACCGGATGTGGAAATCACAAAATAAATTTCATGTCATAATATTTATTTTAAAGTTTAATTGACGTATATATATTTACTTAAATTTTTTTCACAATTGAAGGATAGGTCATATAAATATGGTAGTATATAATTATCAATAAGTTTTTCTATTGGAGCTTTTTTATTTTAAAAGCAAACTTATTTGTCAACGCTCGTTTTTTTAAAATTACTCAGAAACTTTTTCTGATAGTATTGAATGATTTTAATTCTAGGGTTAGACTTTGGCCTTCCCATAAATTGGGAGAAAAATTTTCTCCTGCCATTAACTAAACACAGGACATACGAATACAAGTTTATTTTACCGTTGGTTTTAAAAACTGCCATTTTACTTTAAACCAGTCGATTGCTTATCGCAGAACTGTCGCAATATCTTGTTGAAAATTTGGTCCTTTGTGAATAATGTTGATAAGGTAAAGAGGGAGAAAACAAAATTGTGAAATATTATATGAGTTATTTCCCTTTAATAAGAATTTAATTTAAAACACTATTATAGCTATTTATTATTTGTATTTATTATTAGACATTATTTGCAATAATAGCAACGTTTTTTATGTCAAATTTACTAAAAAATGATAAACTTGACACTTGAAAAATTATTTTTAAGTGTCAAGTTTATAATTTTATTGCTTATTTTTTATATCAAATTTACTAAAAAATTATAAACTTGAAAATTAAAAAATTATTTTTAAGGTGCATTCAAACTAGGAACGTTATTGTCTCTAAAATCCATCTAAATATTTTTTTTATAGTTGTTTCTAAAGTTGAGAACCTTTCTTATCGCCAGATTGCATCACTTTCTGACTTATTAGATCCTGAATATGGCTGGGAAGAATTTGCCCATAACCTTTTTGAATGTGACAACGAAATGTTAAATGAAGTATTAAAGCTTCGTTTTGACTATGCAGGAGGTGGTAACCCAGCTTACAAGTTCTTAAAACTTCTGCTTCAAAGAAGGCCGACGATACGTTTAAATGAATTTTTGGATGCTTGTAAAGAAGTACAAAGAGCAGATATCGTTTACTATGCGAATGAAAACTTTAGTAAAGTTTGTTTGATCAATGAATTAAATAAAAGACAACTAAAAGAATTTGCCGAAAAGATACGTGGAAATATAGTTCCTAGCAATTGGGCCGAAATTGCAAGCGAATTTAGAGAGTTTTCTGCTAAAGATATAAAGAGAATAGAACTTGAAAGAATGGCCTCGAATAGCTATAGTCCGACGAAAAAGTTATTTGAAAAGCTTCAACAGACCCATCCCAAAATGGAGTTAAAAAAGTTAATTAGTGTATGTGAAAAAATAAAGAGGAGAGATGTAGCTAATAAACTTAGTGAGTTTGCATTAAACAATAAACAATAGTCAAGTAGCTAAATTCATTTATATAGAAGGTATATTCACTGTTTTCAAAATAATTTTTTTTTTTCTTTATTGCTTTATTATTTGTAAGTTTATTGAATTTTCATTGCTAGATAATTTTTTTTTCACTTTTGAATATATGATCATTTTCTATAGAAATTTTATGAAAACCTAAAAAACGTGTTATTCCATTTTCACTCCAAAAAGCAGTTACCTGTCAGCGGTCTTTAGCCTTCTTGGCTTTTTTATTATTCAGCAGTGACCTCTTGCTCGAATAAAAAAAATCTGTTCAAATAAGATAACAATAAACACATATATTAAAAACCTAACTGTTATTTTGCTCAAGTGTGCCTCTGCTACAGGGCTGTGCCGAAGAAGTCTCTCATGAAGGAGGTGGGGGGGGTGAAATAAGGTTTTTTTTGCAAACTAGTATCACAAAAAAAAAAGTCCTCGATATTTGGTATTCACCAACCACCCAGCCAGCACCAACACTTCTTTTTAAAGTCTAAAATTTTAACAGCTTGAGACTTCTAAATCCAGATAACTATAAGACATCTAATTGTATTTAACTTTTAGATGACAAATAATAGCTGTCTCAAGCCGTCTAAAAGATGTTACTATTAGATGTCTTATATTTATCTGAATTTAGACATCTAAAAAGTGTAAACATTTTTAGATGCTAAAAAGACGTGTTTGTGCTGGCTGGGTATAGTTAAAAACTTGTCAATTCAAATGCTAAATATACCATTGTGCTAACTCAAATTCATCTATTAGAGCTTTGGAAGAGAAAGTGGTTTTACAAGTTCCGTTCGCAACAGTGTTGCTCGACTATTTGTTGTTCATTTAAATATCGTCGGGGATAGTGCAAAACCGCATAACTAGCGTTTTATAATACCGCGTATCTACAGTACATTTTTTTTACTAGAGAAGTTTAAAAAAAGTTTATTTATTTTTTATTTAAATGATTTTGGGCTCATTTTAGTAAAAAGAGTATTATTAATTTTTTTTTAAAATCTCAACAATAAATACTTGGTGTTAAAATTAATGATATCCAACTAGCAGTAAGCAACCCGTAATACGGGTTGTTAGTAAAAAAAAAAACCGCGTATAGAAAAGCTTGGAAAATACTTAAAAATAGAAAAGCCTAGAAAATGACGTCGACTATTAACTACTACTATTTAATTAGCGTATTAATATTATCAGATTATAGTAGCTATCCACGACGATATTACTAGCTGTTCTTTCCCGCAAAATACAAGTCAAGGTGAATTTGTACCGCGCCGGCAACTGTTTCTTTACTAATTCATCTATTTTTCTATCCTCTGTCTTTATTTGCCGGCAACTGTTTTTTTACTAATTCATCCATTTTTCTATCCTCTAACTTTATCTTTATTTGCGGCTATGGCTCAGTGGTTTGAGCGCTTGCTTTATAAGCAGGAGATCCAAGTTTGAAACGAGCTTTGTACATATTTTTGAGTCACGGTAAGGAAGCAGGCATGGACTTCCTGGTTAAACGCACATCCGCGGTGCTCTGTGACAAGACCGTTAGATCTTCTTAGGGCACCTAAATAACAATAAATAAAAAAATCTATCTTTTCTATCATATATTTATAGATTTCTATACTTGTTAATTATTTTAAGGTGGTACAACACCAAAAAAACTAGAAAACTAAAAAAATTTTTGAGTTTTTCAATTTTGCATAAAATATGTGTCAAATTAATCAAAGAACGTTTAGCCAAAGTTTCAGAGCTAAATAATTTATCTTTCTTTAGATATGAGCATTTTATTAGAACACTGTGTATCTTTTTTTCCTTAGCAACGGAGATACTAAATATTTAACATGGTTGTTAGGGCAATTTCTCCCTAAAAATAAGCTCAATTTTACTGGAGTCTTCAAGCTTTGTAAGCTTGATGTCACTTCTACGTTTTCCGAATCGAAATTCAATTAAAAGTCATTTTTCTTAACCACTAAACACGTTTTGTAACAGCTAACATATTTGAAAGATTTGGAGTTATTGTTTGTTTACCCTTTCGATTTATATTATATATATATTATATAAATATATTTAAAAGAAATGCCAAATAAACAAAATAGTACTAGAAAGAAGAGCAGAAAATGGAATGGGTTTAAACCATCTGATATTCTTAAATCAAAACCTGCAGATCATGAGATTTCTTGTGTTAGCTCAAGTAAGTTAGATGTATCGTTCAGCTTGGATAAATGTGACTCTGACGACTATTTTATACTTATTAACGTTTTATTGTTAAAGAAATTAATTGCACACACTGTTTGCCCCAATTGCTTTATTAGAAATTTGTTAATCAAAGATAACGTTAATTCTCGCATGGGCTTTTGTCATTTACTTAAGATAAAGTGTACAAAGTGTAACTTTTCTAAAAATTTTAGAACTTCAACAAAGTCAAAGAATTCTTTAAACACAAATGAGTTTCCTATTGATACTGTATTTCCTATTTATAAAAAAGAACTTTCATCTCTAGAATCACCGTATGAGATCAACCTGCGAGCTGTCATCGGATTGCGAGAAATAGGTGCTGGCCATGAGTCGATGATAACTTTTTCCTTCTGTATGAATCTTTATTATTTGTCGCCTAATGGCTTTAATAAGTTAAATAAAACTGCCATGTTAGTATACAAAATTGCTGCTGAGGAAAGTATGCAAAAAGCTGCTTTTGAAACCAAATCAATAAACAACTCTCTTGAAATGAAAGTAGTTAGAATTTCTTCTGATGGTTCATGGCAAAAGCGAGTTCATAATTCGTTGAATGGTGTTGTAACTGCTGTTTGTAGTGATAAATGTATTGATGCAGAGATATTTACCAAACATTGCAATGGATGTAAAATGTGGAGATCTAAAAAAGGAACTCCAGAGTATCATTGTTGGTTGGTTGATCACCAGTGTGAATCGAATCACAAGGGTTCATCGGGTAGTATGGAATCTGTAGGAGCTGTGGCTATGTTTAAGAGATCTTTACAAAAAAATAAGTTGATATATAAAGAATATCTAGGAGATGGGGATACATCTTCTTTTAATGATGTAATAGAAGCAGATCCTTACAAAGAGTATGGTATTATGCCTGTAAAACTGGAATGTGTTGGACATGTTCAAAATCGGTTAGGAACACGTCTACGAAACCTTGTCAAAGCCCAAAAAGGTACTAAAAAACCAATATCAGGCAGAGGTAAACTCACTGAAAACTGCATTAATTCAATGCAAAATTTCTATGGTCTTGCAATCAGATCTAATGTGGGAAACTTGTATTCAATGAAAAAAGCAGTTTACGCCATACTTTTCCATTTCACTAATTTTCCTGATTCCTACACACGCCACCAGTTTTGCCCTCGTGGAAAATATAGTTGGTGCAAATACTGGGCTCTAAATCAAAAGAATTATAAACCCAAATCTACCATACCTCTGTGGATAAAAGATTTAATTCTACCAATAATTATAAATTTACAATCAGATGAATTTTTATCAAAATTTTTACATGGAAACACACAAAATGCTAACGAGGCACTTAATGGACTTATTTAGGCTCGTGTACCAAAAAGAGTTTTTGTTTCTAAATCAACACTGGAAATGGGAACGTATTCAGCTATTTTAGCATACAATGATGGTGCAAAGGGTATTATTAGTGTTTTTAGACATTTTGTTTTACATGGTAAGGTATCAAATATTTCAGCAACTTCTAAAAATAAAAAAAGGATTAGTCAAATGAGGTGCAAGTCATTAAAGAAGGGAAAAAAAAAAGAAAAACTCTTAGAGCCATTAAAAAAGGTCACCTAGATGAGGAGAAAGCAAAAGAATGTAATGACAGTTATGTTTCAGGAGGATTTTAAATTAATATTGTAAATATTATATCAAGAATTTTTCAATGCTGTTTATCTCAGTTCGCGTTTTTTTATTTTTGCTTAAACTTTAAAACACAGTTTCTTGAGTGAGCATTGTTCATTTGATCTGAAATTTTCAGTACTTGCTCGAAATGCCTATAAAATTCATTTAACAGATGGATTTTTTTTTATGATCAGTAATTTTTTTTTTTTAGTCAGATCTCTCTAAAACGTCAAAAAATAAATAAAATATGAGGAAAAACTACATAACTCATCATTTACTTTTATATTTAAAAAATCTATCTGTTAAATGGAATAAAATAGTGTTTAGAGTAAGTGTACAAAATTTCAGGTCATATAATGATGGCTAGTCTTAGATATTATGTTTTGAAATTTAGTCCAAAAACGCATTTTTTAATAGTTTTTCCGCCATTATGGTCCTAATGCTAACTAAAAAAAAAATTTTTTTTTTGCTTTTTTTTATTTAAATCATTTGAGTAAACTGTATTTAAAAGCATTTTTATTTTGGAGGTTTATTTCATTTTTTTATTTATTTGGTGTTGTACCACCTTAATGTTTTTTGTAAACATTTTAAGAGAAATTATGTAAACCAGTTTGCATAAAGTAATTTTAAAATAGGTTTGCTTTTATTTGATGTCTTTTTGCTTCTCATCTCGCTACCAATCAAATTACGTTGCAAAAAATAAAAAATATTATTTGGAACGATTGTTGCTCAACTGTTTTTTTCTATTATTCTATTATACAGAAATTTAAAAAAATTGTGACTGAAGTCAGAATAAAAAACACAATACTAATTTGTTACACACGTAAAAATAAATGTCTCAATAAATAAAAAATAAATTAAGTTACATTACCGCGTACAAAAAAGAAAACGGCGGGTTAAAGTGCGTCTTAAACTCCCCCCCCTTTTTTTTTCCCCTTGTACGCCTTCAAACGCCTTTAGGAAAACTCCCCTCATACCAGCGTTCGTACTTTAGGGATGGCTCTTTACCCCGTTTATATATTTCAAAAGAAAAAGTCTGAATTTAATACCTTTCTACTTTGGGTAAGAAAATTATCTCTTTACTGTCATAGATGCACATAATTATGTAAATGATTTGGTAAAAACTTAACATAAGTAACTCCTAGTATGTAACATAAGTAACTCATAGTAGTATACTTAACATAAGTAACTCATAGATGCA